TTGCACTTTTTTATTTAATCAGTCATTATCAAGCCTACCGAATTGTCGTAAAGTACCGTATACGACAATATAGGTAATTCGTCGTTATTATCGGCAAGTTTGATAATGTCTGATTAAACAGTAAAAGTGCAAATTTATACATTTTAACATCGTACCTGAAATACGACGAATTGATGTATACGACGAATTAACGTGTTAATAGTTTGCAATTTTAATCAAACATTATAAAACTTACCAAATATAACGGTTAGTTTGCAATGTAATGTCTGTAAAATTGCAAACTAACCGGGTTATTATCGGTAAGTTTGATAAGTCTGAAATAACTAGACAGTGTGAATTTATACATTTCAATATTTTAACATGATACCTGAAATACAACAAATTGACGTATACGATGAATTGAAGTATACGACGAATTGACGTATACGACGAATTGACGTGTACGACAAATTGACTTTACGACGAATTGTCATGTAAGACGAATTGACTTTACGCTGAATTGGCGTACGACGAATTGACGGTGACCCATTATAGATAGGCTTAAAAAAATCAAATGAAATGCTCGTTTAAATAAAATGGTTCTTGTGTTAGCGCCACCCGCAATTAATTATAAATATCAGTGGTGCACCCATGAGGGGCATCGGGTTGCTGCCCTCAGGCCGCTATCCAAGCCTGTATTTATACGTGTAAGAAAATGTGGCAACATCAGGGCGTGGCACACATACCCTGAAACCTCAATGTTTTGTTTAGATTTTTAGACACAATATGTAGGGGCTCCCCAAACATATTCTCTGGGTGCGCCACTGGTAAATACAAATAAAGATATTTCAATATTACAGGTTACAGGGACAAACTTAAACAAGTGATCCCTTAACTCCCAATTTTTCTTTGAGCATTTTTTACTGGAAAAAATTGCCTGATTAAGTACCTACTTGTTAAAATTTGCTGCTGCGGTAGAGGTACTCAAAATTGAAAAGCCAAAATTTTGATACTGGCATATACTCTCCCTTATTTCTTTAAACATTTACTTACTTCAAGTGGCATGAAAAACGATTTTTTTAAAAAAAAAATTCTGTTAAAATTCTCTCCAGTAAAAATCTACCAAATAAATGCGAGACTTGCAAGAGTCTTGCTGCAAGACCAATACCAAGACTGGACCCTGCAAGACCAAGACCAAGACCAGGACCGTTTATTAGACTGCAAGACCAAGACCAAGACTAGCCCGGTCTTGGTCTTGGTCTTGCATTTGCTCATCACTAATCCCGAATCCCTTTGAAAAAAATTCAAAAACTCAAAATTTTCATTTTTCAGAGTTGCGTAATTTTAACTTTTCCAATCGATAGAGCGGGTCTAAAAAAAATCTAACATTATTTCAAAATGACAATTTTAAAGGAAGATTTTTTGGATCTAAATTAAAAGAAAAAATCCTGACATGTTCATGAACAATTACCCATATCTTCATTGAAATTTGAGCAAACTAAAACATATCGTATATTATTGAAAAGAGCATTAAATTTTCTATAATTCTGTGCTAAATTGGATTTGGTAGCTCAAATACTTTTTGATCAATTGAGTCTCAAAGTTGAATTTTACTACAATCACTAATCAATAAATTCCATGTTTTCCCAAGAATTACAACTAGTTACTTATGATTGTTAAATATTTTACCAGGTGATTTCCATTTTTTTGGGGATTCCTATATCATTCTCAATTGATTACCTGATTTCCTCTAAGCAATCATTTGATTCTCAAAACAATATCCCATTGTTAAGCTTCTTAAGATATTGTGCAAAATGTGGCAACGATGAGCCACACTTTCTCCTGTACCATATGGCATCGAATTTCGAATCCGACATTTTGTCTATGGGCCACAATGTCATCTAATAGTTAAACTGTCAAACTCCAATAATATAATCTTTTCTGGCAGTTAACAAAAATTCAACTAATTGGAGTTTCCTCCCCTATTCAATTCAGAAAATAAAAAAAAATCCCGAAAAATTGAGACTGAAAAACCATTAGATAATACACAGGATGAAGGTGACCACACAAAAAAACCCTCGCCCCTACGGACTCGTAATTTAAAAAGACCCCGGCCCTCTGGGCTCGTAACTTAAGTAGACTCCAGCCCTTCGGGTTCGTAAATTAAAAAGACCCCGAGCCTATGGGCCTGCGAAGTGTTGCTGTCAAACTTTTTTTTATTAAAATTACGTCCTTTGAAGCTCTATTTTTGCTTAATTGTTCTATTCAATTTGCATTATTTTCAACGGCATTAGTGTGCACTGAGTGTATTCGTGTCTTTTTTTACTAATTTGTATAAAAAAGAGATAGAAATACATTTTTTCTGAACTGGTTTTAGCAAAGGATTTGTTAAAATTCCCAAATTATTTGGTTTTGGAAGAAAAATTTAAAACGTAGCAACCCTAGTCTAAAAATGTAGTAACCCTAACACAATTTAACGTTTCAAAGTAGGCCCTGTAGTTTTTGACAGTTAATTTAAAATGACTGGGTTGTTTCCAAGACCTACTTGATTTGATACATTTTTTGCTTACAGTTATCTGTATTACCGACATCGATTAAAACCTGAGGTGGGATCACGACAAGTAGAATTCCACTAGAATTCTACTTCCATGACGTCAGAATGCCTAGCAACAGTGATCATCGCCTGTAGTATATGCGATAAATAGGTCGCGGGTGCGACGTCATGAAAATAGGATTCTACTTATGATCCCAGCCCAGGATTGCTTCAAAGTTCACTTAGTTTTTGATAAGTAGTAATCTTATCACTTGTCATAAATGATATTTGACATTTTGCCCAACAGTGTTGCCGATGTTTATATTATATAATTACTGTTATGGAAAATTTTAAATTTGCAAGGCCTACTTGGGCTTTTTTTTCGTATAAATTCGAGCCTCAATGATTTACACAATATTTGTTATAAGTTGTAGTTGGCAACATTGTTTGACAAGGGACAAAGTAGACTTTGCAAAATTTTAAAATTCAAATATGGCGCCCTGTAATACCGACATTGCAATACATACATGTTTCCAAAGCCTACTTGGTTTCATATAAGCCCGTAAGGCGAGAATTTTCCTGAAAAATCAACTTTCAAGATATCTGGTGATTTTTTTTTTTTAAATATGGTGATTTTTCATTCCAATTCGTGGTGAATTTATTTTTTTTGACCTGGCAACAGTGCCTGCGCTCGCAACGACCTTCAGTCTTCAATCAGTCGCTTAGCAAGCAACATCTCCTGAAGGTGCCATCCACTCGTGATGGCGAAACGTCGAAAACCGATCTCCAACGACGACGGCCGAACAGCCCGAAAACCCACTCATCATTGGACGATTCACAATTTATATCACTGTTCTGTTATGAGTCTCATGACATAACTCAAATACTAGAAAAATAGTTATGTAAAAACGTCATAACCAAATGCTTGTAGATAAAAATAAACTATTCATGTCATAATAGATGATGATAATACATGACATTTTCAATGCAAGATAAATCGGTATTCGGTGACTTAGCTGAGCGACTGTTTCTTAACTGTCAGAGACTATTGTGAGAACAAACCTGTAGGTGATTATTAATTTTCATTTCATAAAAGCACTAGCTGACCCGGCGAACTTCGTACCGCCTCTGAATTATTAAATATACCTATTAAATGTTGTGTTAACGTATCTATTAGCTGAATTAAATTCAGTTTTTTTCGATGGTGAATTTGGCTTTGGTTGAAGAAAATTAATGTTTACTCTCTGGATCAGAAGGCACCTAAAATTAAAATTTTACATCATTCTTTTTTAGGCAGCTTGTGGGCATTATTCTTGTAAAGTGTACCACTAAATAAATAAACTTAGGCACAGGAATGTTCAAAGAATGTAAAGAAAACAGAAAACCTGTTTCACTCTATCTGCACTGCATGCACTGCACTACTCCATCTGTTCTACTCTATCTGCACTACTCTATCTGATCTACTCTTTCTGCACCACTCTATCTGATCGGAATAGTGGAATAGATCTGTTCGAAATAGCTCCAGTTCCTGAGCAGCATTGTTCTACTGTATTTGCAATGCCGAGCTTCGTTCCAGGTATCAGAGATGGCGCGGTATACAAAATACAAAATAAACTTGGTATCGGTTATAAGAGATGACGCGGTATGCGGGCTTAGTAAATTTTTTTCATAAATAAATAAAATAAGTAATGAAATGACCACATTAATGACATAACAACATGCTGGTACTGTTAACGCTGAAAAAAGTTTCAATTTTACAGCAAAATCCCCATTAACAAAATGATCCTCCATTTCGTCGGTCTCCTTACGTAGTGGCGTAACTGACAAAAATTGAGATTTTGAGATACGCCGCCTAAGGTATTATTTTGGGGTACTTTTCAATCTCACAAAGTAGCGTAACTGTATTTCTAATACTATGCTTGCAATGCCATTACTAAAATATGGCGTAAGTGCATAAACCTTTAAAGTGTTTCCCACGTATTGGCGTAAATCAATTTTCGCCTTTACGTCGTGTCACTTTTTTGATCCATTTGATACTGTTTTGGCGTAACTGAAACCACTGTGCACGCGCGATCGGGAGGAAACATCAACATTAGGCAACTCAAACCACGTGACATTCAAGATGGCGTGGCGGCCACACATGGGCCACAAAACACAAAAAAATTTATAGTTTCTGCCCGAATTAATAGTTTAGGTACATAGTCAACAAATATTTTATTAAATAATGAAAATCAAAGTTGTAAGCAAAACTGTATGCAAAATAATTTAAAATACGCATAAAAACATATTCAAAACAAACTTGCTTGGCCGCCACGCCACATTGAATTTTCCTTTTTGACAGATGGATTGAATTGCCTAATATCCGCGAGAATTTCATAACCTCAATAATATTATTATTGTTTGTGTTTCCGTTGTGACCAGAGCTGATGATGTGCGTAATTTAACTTCAGATAAATTTAAAAAAAAAAAAAACTATTTTTAATAAAACATGGATGTGCTTGTGTTGTGGGAAGACGGTTCGAGGAACGTCGTGTCTTCAAATGAACTTAAAACCGATAAATATAAGCGCTTTAAAGTGGGAAATAAGGTTCACATGAAATATAATAGAAAATGGTATCATGGAATCATTCTAGATGTGGAAAATCTAGTTGGCAGCGATTCGGAGGACGACGTTCCGTTGAGCAAATTATTGAAATCATCTAGTGGAAATGAACAGGCAACAAATAGAAACGAATTAGTACATGTAAGTATGAGTTGAATGATACTATGTTAGTGCTTCTATAAGTTGGTACAGGGACACCCTGTACCATCTTAACTCCAAAGCGCAGCCAATAATGGAAAAATGTTTTTTTTTTTACAGGCAGAACCAGGTGAAGTTACAACTTACAATGACTTATTCATTTCTCAAGCAAAACCAGAGGAAAAGGCAGTTCTAGAACCGGAAGTTTTGCCGTTTATTAATGTCGGTGGAGATAATGAAATACTTAATGTGAGTAGGTGCCTACTTTTCTTTTTTTTGTAGCATGTTTGTGATTTTGTGCGAAGGCCGCTGTAGCAAATAGGTTCTTTTTAGTATTGTTTTTTTTCTTGCTCTTTTCACTCAAGCTACAATACATGCCTATAAACGATTTTCTTTTTTTTTTTTTATAGGTTGACTCGGATAAGGAAAATAGCTTTATTGACGACTACGCTTCTCCATCAGATGATTACGATTCTGATGCCGATCCTCCTTTTGGACAATGTCATGTCAAAACTTGTAAAGGGGAAGTTATTGCGGCGTGCCATAGATGTGATTTTCTACTATGTTTTGACCATTTCAATGAGGATGTGGAAAATTGTAAGTACCACGGCATAAATACTGTGTACAATACTGGAAAGGCTGGGCCCAATCGTTGTAGAAAAGCTTCGGACAAAAAAGCTCTTTTACAAGTCAGTAGCCAAATCAGTCAACAGAATAAAAAAAAACGAAAATTGTTGAGCATCCAGAAGGCTATTTAGTTGAGGGCGCTTCAGAAGAGAGAACGATTGCTAAGAAAAAAAGAATTAATAAATCCAAAGAAGCTAAACTTTTGCGGAACTCAGGTCAAGAGTATTTCAGCGTAAAGACCAAAAAGAAAATCCCAGCCAGACAAATAAAGGAACGTTGTGACGGGCAAAAATGTAAAAAAATGGGAAAACAATGTATTGAGATATCTGATGAGATGAGGCAGGACATTTTTAATGCTTTCATGGGTTTAGGGGACCTAGCAAAGCAAAGAGAATTTTTAGTCCGTCACGTTCAAGTTCTTCCTAAAAAGAGATCAACTACTGTCAACAGTGACTCACGTAGAAAAAATTCCAGATTATACGTTTTAACAGTAAATAACAACCAAATCATGGTGTGCAAGAGATTTTTCTTCAATACACTGGGCATTCCCGAGAGAACATTCCGTACAGCATTCTCAAATATTACTGCAACAGGTACAATAGAAAAGGAAATGAGAGGGGGCAGGCAGAGAAGTGTTGCAGTTAAAAACAAGGAAAGAGAAAATAGAAATGAAATCGAGGCCCACATCGACCGATACCCTCGCGTGGAGTCCCATTTCTGCAGATCAAGCACGAGCAGGATGTATCTCCATCCAGATCTATCATTGAAAAAAATTTATAAAATGTTTGTAGAAGAACAAGAATCCAAAAAGAACACAAACATTCCAAGTTTAACTACTTATCGAAGAATTTTCAAGGCGAAGAATCTGTCGTTTTTAAGGCCAAAGAAAGATCAGTGCTCACTTTGCTTATCCTTCAAAGAGGGAGACGCTGCTATTAAAGAAGATTTAAAAGATAGATACGAGAAACACATTTTAGAGAAACAACTAGTGAGACAGAAAAAAAGTGAAAGTAAAGAAAAGGCAAAGACTGATTCAGATATCCTTTGCGCGGTTTTTGATCTTCAACAGGTGATTTACTTACCCATTTCACAGGAGTCTGCAATTTTCTATAAGTCAAGGATGTCAGTTTTTAATTTCACTTTTTACAATGTAGCCACCAGAAAATGTTACTGCTTTGTCTGCGACGAAACAAACGGGAAACGTGGGTCGACTGAAATTGCAACTTGTCTATTCAGAGCAATTGGCCAATACGTCGGAAAAGGAGTACATACCATAGAACTCTTCTGTGATGGGTGCTACGGCCAGAATAAAAATTCGGTTGTAGCATCCATGTTGCTGTATTCGTTGGCAAAATACAACACTATTAAAAATATTAGTTTGAAATTTTTTGAAACCAATCACGGACAAAACGAAGGTGATAGCGCCCACAGTGCTATTGGTTACGCGCTGGCACATTCTGGTGACCTCTTTGTACCGTCACAACTATACCCACTCATTCGAGGTGCAAGAACACAACCTAAGCCGTACACTGTTATTCCAATGAGTTTTGGAGATTTTCTTGATTTCAAAACATTTTCGAAAAATCTAAGACTATTATCTGTAAGACAAAGCGAGAAAAACAGATCTGTGAAATGGACCGAGATTATGGATCTTAGTGTCAATAAAGAAGAACCGATGAGCATTTTCTTTAAATATAGCCACGCTGAAGAAAGTTATGATAAAATTGTGCTTAAACAACGTGGTGGAATAAGCCATCTAATTATTGATAATTTGAATAAAGAACAAATTAAAATTTCCAGAAAGAAATATGAAGATTTAACTGCTCTTTGTAAACCATCTGGCAGAAACAGAACAGCGGTAATACGCACACCCGAACTTCAAAACTTCTTTTACTCTTTGCCGCACGAAGAAGACGAAAAATAATAGTGCTGTTTTTTCTTGTTTTTCCAAATAAAAAGAATCAGATTCAAACTGTTTTCATTTTTTTTAAAGAATGATTTTTTTTCCCTTTTCATTAGCCATTGTAAAGAATGAATAATTTTTTTTTCCTTTTCTAATAACCGTTGTAAAACATTTTGCTAATTTCATTATTTATCACAATAAACTAGTTTAAAAGTATAATATTATGAATCTGTATCACTTTTTCCCTACACGATCTTATAGGCGTAAGTGTAAACATAAAAAAAATATATTTTTACAAATTGGCGTATCTGTATAAACATGTTTTTTACTTGCAAGCTGATCAGCTGATAACAAAAATGTTATGCTTAAAAGTAGCAGGAATAGTTAAGCATTTTGATAAAAAAAAACAATTTGGGCCACCTTCAGTAGAAACAATTGGACACCGATATAAATATGCTCCATTTTCGTTTTTTGCGTCTACTGGAAAATTTGTGAAAAGCTAGTTACGCCACTACGTAAGGAGACCGACGATTTATTGAATAATTCATTTATTACAAAAAATGTGATAAATGAAGAACCGCTCGACCGATTTTGTGCAAACTTCACATAAACCATCTAATAAATAGTCCGAAAACTAGGTGAGGCCGTTCTTGAGTTATAAAATTACAACGAAAAGTTTTATATATATAGAAGATTGATATTAAATAACATAATGAGCTAAAGTGCAGGGTTACCATTAGTTCCAATCAATGTAACCTAAAACTTTTTAGAAAGATTAAATCTTATCCGATTTAATTCTTAATCAGCGAAATAAGGAGAGAGTCGGATTAAAAAACTTTTTCTCCGAACAGGAAACCTAATTAAACTCTCCACTAAATTCTCGTTCTTTTTACCTTTCCAAGAAAAAAATTCCAAAGGTAATGATTAGCCAAGTTTAAAACAGAAGTTTTCAATTTTTTGAGGAGTTTTAAAATTTCATCATTTTAATACTAAAGTTATTATCGTTACCTGGAAGCTCTAAGAAATTCGAAGTTCGTCTCTGCCTGTTGCGGGGATGTTGGAAATTCAAAGGCCCCAGGCCTTCATTAGACGCATTGCTTAGGACTGAGGAAATCGATTCCCTCGAACCTCTCGAGCCTCTTCTACTAGCCAAATATGCCAAACCTCCTTTGGAACCTAAACAAATAACAAAAATTCGAAATTTTAAAAAATCCTAGTTTTGGGTTTTTACTTTTTCTGGATCCAGATCTGCTCAATGCAGTAGTTGTGGCTGTCATGGCGTCATCGGTCATATCGGTTAAATCGGAAGTTGATTTTCGGCAACGGTGGATTTTTGGTTTTTCTGTCGGGGTTGATGTGGTTGATTCGTTTGGTGATGGTAGACGTCTTCTACCTCTGGAATTGATCAAAAATAAATTACAATTATTTAAGTTATCAAAGGACTTGAGACAATTCGGCAAAAATATAGCAATTAAATATCAAGCTGATTGAGACATTATTTTAGAAGTTGAGATTTTGGATCCAGATCAGATTAGGTCTCAGAAATAAAATTATGGTATAGGTACTAATAATATGACCTGACTCAAAAACGCCTAATCTGAAATATTGAATATATGCTTAGAAGATGAAAATAAATCCAAGAAAGGTTTTGATTTAGTACCTACTATATGGTTTGAGGTTCGAATATAAATTTTTTATTACGATTGATACCCTTCGGGCATTTTACGCTATTGCCAATAAAAGGGGTTATTTATCACTTGACGTGATGGATTCCTGGGCAAAATTTAATTCATTTGTAGGCGATAGAGAATCATATATTTTTTGGATTTTAAATTGGAATCGATTTTTCAAATAAGTGGATAGAAAGATAAGCACTGCTATTATAGTAAACGACTTTGCCAAGATTTAGTAGTTATCGTTGTAATTAAATATGTATATATATGGTTTTGTTTCGAAATTTTACTTACTGAATGATCTAGGGGTGTTACGTCTGGTGATCATACTGGCCCTCCCAGTTTTCAAAAACTTTAGAATTAAAGTATTAAAATTTTTAGCGTCCATAGAATCTTCAAATTCTTCGCTTTTTAGTGTCTCAAAAATCTTAAGCCACTTTGTCAATCTTTAGATTCTCCTTTCAAACGATTTGAGTCAAGATTCTGACATTCTTTTGATCTTCATATTATTCTTTAGTCTTAATAAGTCATAAGCTTAAAATATCTGGGACTCCAAACCCAAAGAGTCTTCAAAAGCTTTAAATAAAGAGTCTCAGAATATTTGAAGTCTTTCGAATATTGAAAGCTCTAGAATCATTTAAGTCTTTATTTTCAATCTTTTAACAATTTGAAATTTTGTGTCGTCTTTTAAAAGTTTAGTCTAAAGTCTTAAATCAGTAGCGTCTTATCTTAGTGACCTCAGATTTTTTAATTTGATTTCTCAAGAGGCTTTAAGTCTAGATTTCCAAAGTTTTCATTGTTGCGTCTTCAGGATTTTTAGGTTTTAAGTCAAGAGCATTGTAATTTTCAAAATCTTTGAGCCCTAATTCAAGAGCCTGTAGAAGTCTTCAGAATTTCCGACGAATTCGAGTGACAAACCCTAAAAATATCATCAACAAGGTCGTGAGTCTTTCTGGGTATCTTTAGAGTCCCGAGTCTTAATTTATGAGAAAAATTGAGGAAAAAATTGGTAGACATAAAACTCAGAATTGCAAACAAGATAATTTCCATTTCCCATTATAAACAATTCTATTATTAAATGATTATTTTTCCTCTCTAGACATACATAAATTCATCCAATACGAATTGTTAACCTGAACTCTGCCCATGTCATCTCTTCAAACCCGACATTGCAATATCCGCACCTTGTTCTCATTCCGGGGTGCAATATCGCTGAAACGCTAACGCGATTACTTGTTTGCTTTTCTGACAGAGAGAACGTGTACTCAACAGCGTTTATTTCATCCTAAAATTGGACAAACATTTTAGGTGAATTGGATTTCGATTCTATAAGGAGAAACCAACCAAATAAATTATCTACTTACATATAATTGTTTATTGAATAAACAAGGCCTATCACACCACAATAAATTATGCAACCAAAATAGTAAAAAACTGCTCTGTCAGTTATTATAAGTTACTATTTGAATGTAAAAGTTTTCAAATATTTCATTTAAAGTTTAAAAACAAAACACTTACCTTTTTTCTTTTAAGGAGGAATGTCTCGAACTTAAACTTGTAGTAATTGTAGACCCCATCGAAGTGGAAACGGTTTGCGAATCGGAATCCAAAGAGTGATGCGGTTTATTTTCATTAGCGTTGCGAACCTGAAATAAATGCACCAAATAGAAACCCATTTTTCTTAAGAAAATATTAAAGTTTGAATCTCATCAATTGGGAATCAAATTTCGAGAGATTTGAATTATTACACTCTATCGAAAACAAGCGTGAGTAAATGAGAAAATTCAATTTATCAAAATCTGAAAAATCCGGTAAACAAGTTTGACGTGAAATTTCAATTTTCGCCCTCCCATTCCACGCACCAAATAAATGATTTATCATCGAAACTTGAAAATAGATTATTTCTACATTTCTTTGTATCCATATGAACATTTTTATGGATTGAAACTTTTATTATGTTTCAAAGAAGCTAATATTGACTTGATACCACCGCCACCTGGTTGCGACGGTTGGGTAAGGGAGACTTTGTTTTAGCACTGGTAAAGGTCTTTGTTTAAAGTCCCACTGAAAATCTAGGTAACTTCGAATGGATACTTTTTAGTAATTTTCCAGTGCGGGCTCTTGCTACCTGAGCTGTACGCAGTTAATTGGAATGCTAGCTCGGGGCTTTCCAAAGGAAATAAAAGAATCAGTTTTTCTCACTAAACTCTAATAATGAATGGTTTATTGAACGAATGGTAAATCTTGGTAAGGAAATGAAAGAAAAGCAAAGAATATACAGTAGGTTATTAACAATGTTTACTAAAATGAAATGAAAGAAAATACATACGGAGATTTGGAATGATAGGGAGTGAAATTCATGAGCGTCTTGTATAGGTACAAGCTACATGAGAAATTAAAGATTAAAAGATACAGAAAATAAAGACTAGGCTATATTTCTTAGTGGGTAAAAGTCACGGGCGTCATCGACAAGGGAATGACAAAACGGCCTTGTTATTCAGGGTAATACATGTTGGAAAAGAGATTTGAGTTGTGGAGATAACCCAACGGTTTTGTTATTTACACAGGGGAAAAAATAAATAATAGACAGAAAACAACAATTATGACGAATAAATTAAAATACTTGAAATTGAAACATTACCTAAGGTCTCGGAAAGAGAGTTAGCAGAAAGACGTTAACACTAAACACCAGAACTTCGTTACAGAACTGAATCAATCTAGGAGGCTCACAAGATTATTTATATTGGCAGCTCGTCGTGTTTTAAGACACAGTAATTACATTCTTTCGAAAACCCACTGGTAACCTTTGGCTCTTGACACGGTTTTGTCAGAAATTTAGCGACTTTTATTAATTGTTTTACGAAGCAAAAAAAAAAAGGATTTTTAGGCCGTTTTGTTACAGACTGAAACAAATTTATGGAGAAATTCTTACCCTTGAATGTCCACGTCCGCTTGTAGTTTCCATCGCAAAATGATCTCGATCGTTCGGTTCATTGTGGGGACTTTGAGGCCCAAATTGAAAAACCGTTGAAGATTTACAGGAAGCTGGTGATGAGGCATTGTTGAAGGTTGATGGAGAGCGTGGAGAATGTGGTGATGATCTTGGACCTAGAAAAAAATTAATATCAATTTCCAAAATTCAACAAAGATTACAAGTTGCAAATATGAAATTTTGTGGTAATATTGGGGCAAGACATACTAAAAATTCAATTACAATATAAAATAATAAGCAAATTCCCGTAGGACAAGTTTTTCGTTTATATTTCGTACTTCTCATTTCCGAATAAAAATATCGGGGAGTTTTTCTTTTAACGTCAAAGACATCACTAGGTGTTTGTTTTACTGTAAATCGAGATTTCCTTAGGGGAGTAAAACGGCGGATACTTTGGGGAGATTGAGGATAAAACACTCTTTTTAAGATGGGGCTACAATACTGTCACGAAACGTCTCTGCTTCGATGTGTAGCTCGACTATTCACCCTGAAAAGCAGAACGGGAAGGGAGGAGTAACAGGGAAACACCAGAACAGTTTTAAATAGCTAATATATATTGTTACAGGACGGAGATTACGGAAACATGAATATTTAGTTATTATTATTAGATAACGTCCCTTCAGGTGGTGAGGCTCAAAAAAGGGGCGGACAGTCAAACGTCGGGTATACCCCTGCAAGGCTAAACAACCAAACCAGCCCTACAGGAAAATCTAGAAAGCCTTTTCACTGTAGGTCAAAGCCTGGGTCGTCAGAGAGTATCTGCCCTGATAGAGATACGATAGCGTATTAACTTTATCAGTCCAGATAGTTCCCCAACTTTGAGTCGTCTCTAAACACCTACTGATTGCAGCGAAGCGCTGAGACACGACTAATTTGCCATAGTGTGGCCCGGGCTTTTATATCCAATATTTGCTGACTATGATTAGGATAATTTGTGTTTTCTTGCTTAGTTGCAGTTATTTGTTATAACCCGTGGTTCAGTGTTTTGAATTTGGTTATAGCCCGTGGTCCCATGTAGGGTTGACACAAGCCCCTCCCGATAAAGGCATTGGCCCCACAATGCCCGAGGAGACGTATCTGGCTTCAAAAACTTTTAAAAAAATACAAAAACTTTAAATAAAACTTAAAACTACATTATTCATCTTCGGGCGTCTTCTTCTTTGTGATTGGTTCTTTGTGCGTGTCCATTCTTCCATGGCTTCGAACACTAGAACAGTGTCTGCGGTTTGCTTCTACTTCGTTGGTGATTCTCTGGGTTTTGCTGGTTCCAAGGCTTGTTTGCCTGGATCACTCTTGTAGATGTTCTGACAACGTTTCACGCATGTCGTGGTGTCTAGGTTGTTGGATCTCATGTCGTGGATCTAGGCTAGCGATTGGCCTAGGTTGGTCTTGAAGATGTTGTGGTCTTGGTTCAAACAATTGCTTTTGTAGATGTTCTGGCGTTGTCTCCCGCGTGTCGTGGTATCTGGGCTAGTGTATCCAATGTCGTGGATTCTTGGCCCGTGGTTTGCTTTTCGTAGTGGACCTTGTTTCTCGTAGGGGACCTTTGGTTGGAAGCTTGTTCCGTGGTTGTGGCGCTTTCAATAGTGCCCCTAGCTTTTTTGAGTTTTCTCCTTTGAAATTCCCGCTGCCACTGGAAGGTTATGGTTGAGACGCCTCTGCCTTGTTTTACTATACAAACGTGATTAGCAAAGTTTACAAAATTTTCGAGTTTTATTTACATCCTATAGTACGGAAATCTCTTACCTTTTTATCATTTATATATAATACTAATTATCCTTACTTACTAAGTACCTATCCCTTGTTATACCTGTTATATACATATATTTTTTATAACCTAATACCTGACCTAATATTATGTATCCTTATTTATATTATAACTTTATCCCTAATTTCCATTAAGTTGCTGGCCAGCAATATTTTACCTAATATTATTTCATATTTTTATATCCTATTATATCAACAAAAAAAAAATTAAAAAAAAAATACAAATTTGTTCATTACGTTCCTGTAATAATTCTTTCGCTTATTTTATGCTCAAGCCTTGATTTTGCAGTAGGTACTTCCGTCAGCAACCATTGTTGTAGCTGGCGTTGGTTTGCTTAGCTTGCATCTGATTTCATTGTTTTCTAGTTTCTCAATAAGCAATAGGCTATACATCGTGGGTTCTGCTCGAGTATAAGTTTGCTTATTAATCAAATTTTGGTTTATTTTATACACCAAATATATGACGAATATTAATAGCAGACTTGTGTGTTGTAGAATAAAGCAATGCTTGCGGTTTTTTGGTTATTATAATAATTATGTTTCTATATGCTATATTAAAAATATGCTCATTAAATTAATAGTGAGTAGGTATATTTTTCTATCTTAAAGTTTTATGACTACTAGGTTTTCGATGTGGGTCGCGATCCCAATCGATTTCGTACTAATTTTTGAGGCCTCAGTCTTCGCTGATTTCCTCTATTTCTTCCTCATTTTCATCAACATTACTCTCTGTTTCTGATTCCTCTAACATTTCTTCTAAAACTGGGGACTCCGCTGTCCACGGGTCGTAGTAGGGGAGTGTCCTACTTACATGGACCGTGTCCTTTTTCTTCCCACCAATTTTTTCCACTTCATAATCGACTTCTCCTAATTTTCTTAAAACTTTGTATGGCCCAAACCATTTTAACAACAATTTTTCGCTGCGGCCTACTTTTCTTACCGGCACGAAAATTTTAACTTTATCCCCAATATCAAACTTTAATTCTCTATGTTTGCTATCGAATCGTTTCTTATCCTTTACTTGTCTTTTGTGTATATTTTCTGCTGCTATTGCCCTTATAGCCAGCGCTTTCTCCCTCAGGTGTAGTATATCCGTTTCCGAGTTATCATCAATCAACATTGCTTCCGACGGTAGAGTCGGTTCCCTGGCAAAAGTTACCATGAACGGGCTTAGCTGTGTGTTATCTTGAATCGCTGTGTTATAAGTGAAGGTGACGTACGGAACGTAACTACACCAGTCAGTCTGCTGTGTGTTACAGTACATTGCCAGCATATCGGCCATTGTCTTATTCAACCTTTCCGTAAGGCCGTTACACTGGGGATAGTACGCTGTAGTATATTGGTTTCTTACTCCCATTATCTTCCCAAGTTCTGTTACTAGCTCGGACTGGAAAACCTTTCCTCTATCACTCAACACTGTTCTTAGGGCTCCGTATATCAATTTAATTTTTTCCAAAATAAACTTCGCCACTGGGCCTGCCTTTCCATTTGGCAGTGCCGCCGTGATTGCGTAGCGTGACGCATAATCTGTCGCAACTATTATCATAGTTTTGTTATTTGAACTTCTCCTAAATAGACCGAGCAAGTCTATTCCCACTTTATCCATGACGCATCCCACTTTAATCGGCTGAAGGGGCCCACGAGGTTTCCTGTAGGGCTGTCCCTTCCTTGCTTGGCAATCTACGCACCCTTTGACGTATTTTTCAATGTCTTTTAACATTCCATCCCAGAAAAATCGGTTCCGTATTTTGTCTATCGTTTTGCTGAGTCCTAGATGACCACAGGTTGGTGATGCGTGTAATTCCCATAGGATTTCTTCCCTCATTGCCTTCGGTACTACCAGCACTACTATCTAGTCCTTTATGCGTTTTATTCACTTTGTACAATAAATCATCTTCGATTCTGAAATTTTTTGCT